AAGGCTTTCTTTCTTTCTTTCTTTCTTTCTTTTTTTTTTTTTTTTTTCCCTAGTATAAGTTACCACTGAGAATAAACAGGGCAATATTTGGGGGTGGAATGGTTTTAGCTTTTACCTGTCTGCCCTGTCATCACACAGATATAGATACAATCTGAGTCATTGCTCTGACGTACTGAAAGGCAAAAAAATTTAAAAGAAATCATTGTTACCACTTTTCATTATATATCTTAAACAGCTGAGAAAACAAACAAAATATGGTATGTGGTTATGGCAGCTGGCCAAGTATTTTCCTTCTCATCTGTTTTTTGACAAAACCTCAAACCAGCCTCAAATCCACATGTTAATTTTTTCAGGGGAAACGTTTCCATCTAGCTAAAATTCTAAATTACAAGTATTTTTATGTAAAATAAAATTATTCTGATAATAAAGCTCCTAATTATTCTTGGGAATCATAATTATCCCAAATACGAGTATTTAATAATGATTCTCAAAAATACGAGGCTTTAGAAACTGTTAACCAAACATTCAAACAAAACACAGGTGCTCGTAGAAACACGTATGTCTCTATATTACACACACATACATTATATACATATCTTGTTCCATGCTTTGCAAAAAAAATTGCTGCTGAGTAAGAGCAATAGGCTTTTATCTGCATTTCTGTGCTTGTTTCCATGCCAGAAGTAAGTGAGACAAATAAGATAATGATAAATGTTAAAAGGAAATTCAAACCTGAGAGAATAGAAGTGGATTTAAAAATTTCTGTGAGGTAACTGGTGGAGTTTCCAATGATATCAACAAGTAAAGCTGTAAAATCTAGAAAAAACAGAGAAAATTTATCACTGAAACACACAGTCCATCATCTAGGACGAGTCAAAAATTCACTTTTACATGTGATGATCTTTTGGATATATTTGATATATTTGGATATATTTACTCATATATGACAAAGCTTAAAATATTTTAAAGTTCCCGATGTTTTTGCTGGATGGAACTGGACTCAAGAGCCCACGAGAATATTCTGCAGAAATATACTTCAAAGTTGACATACAAAATAACACCAGTGCACTTAAAAGTAAATTTAAACGGAATTTATCTGTTCAAGAGAAGATTTTAAAGTAATACTCTACTAGGTTTGCTTAAATGTAGAAGGAGATCTAAAGCCTGCTTACTCTAGCTGACTGCCTGCCATGTAGGATCTCCCAGGAGGCATCAGACTGTTTCCTCAGACATACAGATGATGTCATCAGCCCGAAAAATGGCTGCTGGTGGTGTTAGTGGTACCTTTTAGCAGTAACAGGTCAGTGTTCTCATTCAGGGAGTGATGGACATGAGCCCTATGTTGAGCCCTTAATTTTTACTGCTTTGGAGAACGCTCTGTCCACCAAGATATTCTGGATGTGAGGCAGAAAGATTGAAGTTTCTCAGTTGTCATCCAAGGCAGAATGGGTCATTTTGCAATAAGGCTCATGAGATATGTCGGTCCAGAAACAGCCATGAATGCTACTGTGGCTCATATGTGGGGTCACCACATGCAGCACAGAGGGTTTGGGCTCTGGTCCCAAGCTGCTGAGCTACTCTTGATACCTCACATTAACCAGTCATAGAATCCAAGTGCTCAGATCCATCCTGAAATATTAAATACTGTGAGATCAGGGGTGAGGATTTGCCCTCAGGAGGTGAAGGGTTTGCCCAGCAGCATTTCACACTTGATCAAAGTGCTCTATAAAATTGGTCCTTGCTGTTCCCTTCTGTTGGGCTCATTGAAATTGCTGGAGTCGATTGGCACAGAGAAGCCCTTGTTCATCTCCTGTGGGTTATCTCAGGAGAGCAAAAGTGGCCAGGGTGATGTATCGTACATTGCTGGTTGTCTCTCCTGTGCTGCAGTTTGTATTCCAGGGAGGAAAGAGAGGTCTTTTCACCAGGCAAACCACCCCAGCCACTTGACTGATGGCTCCGTCTCAGACTGGCTGGCTGGGTGCAGCCACCTGAGACCCGGCTCACTGAGTCGGAGCAGCCATTCATCATGAGTTATGGCTGTTGGTCTCAGTATGGTGATGCTGCTCATAAGGATGCAGCCTGCAGAATTCAGGCTACAGCCTTCATCTCCGAAGGAAATAATTCAGCTTAAACACGTGCAATTGCCAACCTCTCTTGTGTGCCCACCTGTCAAGTCGTTTGTCGCATTGTTCAAACAGTAGCAGTAGTGCATAGGGAACTTGCCAGGGTCAACATTTTTTGCATTAGAGACTGTAGGGAGAGACAGGGAAAAAAACTCAGTATCTTGTTGCACAGGCTGTGAGAGAGAAACTGCCCCTGAGCAGAGCAAAGCACCAGAAACTCACTGTTATAAATGGTGACCGACACTTTGTGGAAGGCGAATGAGCTGT